ATCTGATACTTGACTTAAAACTAGGAGCATGCGCTACTTTGATAAAAATAAAATAAATACACCTGACAATAGTAGTTACCCCAAATTTTGGATGTCAAGGAGCCTTTACCTCTTAGGCATTGCTTAAAGTATTTTACTATTGAAACTTATTTTTGTATAATTTTTTAAAATCACAAAATAGAACACACATAAAAATAAAATAACCAGAATCAAGGCTCTGGATTCCATAATACTATTCAACAATATAAATAATTGGCAAGAATCTGAATTTCTCAGATGAAATTCTATTTGTATTTTACAACCCATTTATTATTATGTGAGAGACACTGAACCACGCATTTTATAGAGATTCTCATTTAATCCTCAAACTCTTATAAACAGATGGTATTATTACTGCCACTTTATGAATGTGGGAACTGAGGCTCAGAGAAATTGAGAAACGTACCCAAGGTTACACAGCACTCAGGTATGAGAGCTATGATTTGAATCAAATCTCTCTGCCTCTAGAGCTCAAGCACTGAGCTAGTACATCGTGTCCAAAATGAGCGTGCTTTCTTTCTTTCTTTAATTCCATAATTACACATTTATATTAGAAAAAAAAGAACTTTGAAACTCAACAAAAGCCATCATGTTAGCAAGGGAAAAATAAATTTCTCATTCCTCGTGACTCTGGCAGGGAAAAGGAAGCAGAGATAGTTCCTGAGACATGGGGCACCTTGCCCCCTGACTGGACCAGGGTAAGAAGTGACCACAGGTCAGATATGTCCTTGTAGCCAGCTGGGGCCTTTCTTAGCCAGCATCCTAACTTCTTCAGGTGACTGCATCCTCTGACACGCTTTATGTTAACGCTTGCATTCTTCTCTCTGCTCAGGTCCTTACAGAGTGACTCATGTTGGCTAGCTGCACGGCACATCTTTGGCCCATACATGCCGGTGGACCTTCTGAGATTATACGTTCCAAATGGCAGGGACTTATTCTGAACAGAACCTAGCACAGTGCCTGCCACCTGTTGAAAGGTGCTTGGTAAAATAATTATAACAAACAGAATGTTAATGAACACCCCTAATGCCAAGTCCGGGGAGGACTCCATGACACATCAGCAGACTCTCCCTGAAGAAGCTACAATTAGAGACAGGTTATAGCAGTGAGAGTGACTTCTGACTTAAAAAAACAAAGACGTGAGTGAGGCCAAAAGCCTTAAAAGTAAAATAAATGATGGACCGAACTCAGGAATCTGTATGTGCCTACACATGTTCATATAGCCAACAATAACTTCTATATAAAAAAATGGGGGCACCAGCAGGTGGCGTGGTGGTTAGGTCACTGGACACTACCACATGGCCAACCATGGTTCGAGTCCCAGACCTGGGCTTGCTTTCTCATTCTCTCTCTCTCTCTCTCTCTCTCTCTCTCTCTCTGTCTTGTCAAATTAGAAAAAAAATTTTTCTTAAATGGGGATAGCACAGCATTTAAAAATAGTCAATATTAGTGTGCTTCCCACAAAATACTACTACTCCACTAACGCGTGACCTTTTCCCAAGGACACTATGTAGTCCACACACTCTCTAGTTCTCTGCACTTCAGTTCACAAGTCAGCATGACATATGGTCCTCATGTAAAATGGTGCCGAGAATAATACTAAGCATGGGGAGTTACCATGCTATTAAGATCTTCAGAGTACCTTGGCCTGGTTGCAGGCCTGGGGAGAGTGTGACCAGCAGCTGTGGGGAAGATGAGACTCAGATACAGCTCTCAAGGCCCATGCTATTGCAAGCTGTCTTCTAGAAACTCAGGGCTCAGGACCCTTAGGCTGCTGCCTGCTCCCACTGCCCAGGTGTGGCCCTGCCAGTGTCATGCTCTCACGGACACACTGGTCACAGGCTTTGGCAGAACTCATAGGCAGCAGCAACCGCAAACTGCCTACTAAGGCAGAAAAACCTGTCTAGCATTTCCATTCTCTCCTTCAAAACCTAAAAGGAGTGCTAATCACTAAGCTGCATTTTCCTCCTTTTTATAAATGAATGACATTTAGCCATAAGCTATTAAATCCCAGTATCCTGAATTGTAATTGTCACCATCGTCACCATCGCTCCAACCGCTGAAGTATGTTAATGATGGAGCCACACACATCAGCAGTCTGATTTTAATATGAAATGGAAGTCTGGCTACCTCATACATTTAAATTACAATTAATTGTATGTAAACACTAGCTCCAAGTACATCCTTTAAGCAGAGGACAATATATTGCTATATCAGAGTCTTAGAGCTATCTAACTAGCTTTCAAGGTGTGCCAGGAGAGAAGAAACAGGCAAGCTACTCTGATGAATGGATGAGCAGGTGCATTGTTTGTTGTTTTAAAACATCAAGGAACCAGCTACTGAGAATTTAAAAAAAAAAAAATTAAGCACTGTCAGCCTTTATTATATATCCTTTTAAAACTTCCTTTCATTAAAAAAAAAAAAAAAAAAAAAAAAAGCTAAGGGGCCAGTAGATGGTGCAGTGCTTACGTTGCTGGACTCCCACATGGCTGGCTGTGGTTTGAGTCCTGGACCTGGTGGCTTGAAAATCACGCTGGGTGCGTGTGCGTGCATGCCCAAGATCCCAAGAGAAGAATGAAGGAGAAGGGATTGTAGCATGGCCATCGCCCTGGTAGGTGAGTTCTCACTTTCCCTCTCACTGTTTCTCTTTCTTTCTCCTGTGAGTACACGAGCCCTATAGCAAAAACCTTTTTAAAAAAATAAAGTTAATTAATATGTATTGCCACTATCCCCTACAGAGAGTACTTTTAAAACAAATCAGCATAGTGGGACCAGCAGTTAGCGTGATGGCTATGTCGCTGGACTCCCACGTAGTCAACCGCGGTTCGCGTCCCAAACACGGTGGCTTAAACTCACGCCGGGCACATGTGCGTGCGTGCCCAAGATCCAAGAGGAGAATGGAGGAGAAGGGATTGTGGCATGGCCATCCCCCCTGGGGGGTGATTTCTTGCTTTCTATCTCTCTGTCTCGCTCTGTCTGTCTGGCGAGCGCACACACGCTATAGCAAAAACCTCTCCAAAAAAAAAAAAAAAAAACAAATCAGCATAGTGAAACTCCTTATGGTTCAAACATAAGGTGTGCCTGTTTTTAACCCTCAAAATCATTTGCCAACTTCTAATTTAATTATGACTGAGATTCAAGTCAACTGTTGAGTGTTCTAGAGATACTCTGTAGATCCCAGCTGGCAGCAAGTGGAAAAAGATTCCAAATGCTTTTAAAATATGCCATGGAGTAGAGAAGAGAAGAGTAGTAAAAAGCAGAGGAAAGAAATATTTTTTCAATCTGAACTACTGAAATTATAATTCGATATATTATTTACTCTGTCATGTGAGATTTCCCCAAATCTGTCCTATCTCTCCTGGCTATCCAATCTTTGTGCAGGACAAAGAAAAAAAAAAGCACTTTAAATTTATTTAAACAGACATGTACAGACATCTTGAGACTTTCTAATTTTATCACTAAGACCCTTTTCAGTTAGGAAATTCGTAGAACCAATTTTCTATTCTAAATATCAGTACCATGCTAATGCATTCTAATTAATATGCCTAGTGTTATTGTTTAAATTCCAATTTTATCTTTGAGCAGGGCCCAGAGAATGTCAGAGGATATTTTGTAGACATCAGGTGACGTTACACTTCAGAAAGAACAGGAGTGGAAAAAGCTGGGGCAGCGTTCTTGGCTAACTGCCCACATGAAGCTGCTGTCTGCTTTAAAATACATTATTTTCATACTTGTCTTCACAATAAATGTGCAAAACAGATCAATAGAGAATATAAAGCCACACTACCCCGGCCTTTTTCATCAGCATGGTCTTTCAAAGTAATGTCCATTTACAGAAGAAAACCTCACAGTAGTAGAAGACACCCTGAAATATTCATCAGTTAGAGTGTGCCAGCCTTGAACCCCTTTGTACCTGCTGACATGTGTGCACAGGCGAGGTGCAGCAGACTCGGGCTGCCCAGGCCTATGAAGCCCAAGTAGGAAGCAAACTCAGGCCCATTAGGGAGCCTGGAGAACCAAGAGAAGCAGAGTGATTGGAAGTGAGGGGGTTGACAAAGACTATCTACCTTATCTGGGGTTACCCACTAGTCTATTCTACAGGAACCAAAATAAATTTTATCCCCTTATTTTAAGAAGTCCAGTATCAGAAAAATCAGCACTGATCACCACAGTCTGGTGGTTTCAAGGGAAGGGCCTGCTAGAGCAGGCTGTCCTTGGAGCTGTTTGTTGGGTGCAGCGGTGGCTGCCAGCCCCTGGGGATGCTGGGCAGGATGAGCTGGGTCACACCTGAAGCAGCGTCACCATAACACACAACTGTAGAGGAAGTATTCTAGGGACAACATCCAAACTCCAAATGGCAGAAGAGGAACCCTGCGTGTTTGCCCATAGTCACTGAGGATGAGTGCCCACCTACTACTGGATAACTAGAAGGGGCTCCTGCTTCTAACAGTCATGTCAATGGTAGCATCTCATTATATTAATGATATCTGCAAATATGTTGATATGTAAGACATGCACTTCATACAACTATGTGTTGTGCACATGAACAGGTTATTACGTTACTGTATTAGTGTAAACTAATTTTATCAAGTGGAATCTTTCCTCATTTCTAATTAATTAATTGTTTTTTTAAAATTTTGCCAGAGGAAAAAAATGCACTCAATGGAGACATACACACACACACACACACACACACACACACACACAGAGTGTGAGAGAGAGAGAGAAAGCAAGGAAGCATGGAGGATGGTCACACCGCAATCCTTTCTCCATTTCTCCCTCCTTCCTTTCAGAATTTGGACACACGTGCCAGTTCAAGTCTCAAACCATGCAGTTGACCATGTGGGATCCAGTCACCTTAACCACCATGCCCCTGGCTGGCCTGAATCATTCCTCATCTTTAAAGACGTGGTCTACCTCAGACAGTATATATGCCAACTTTACAAAATGAACAGCCAAACCTTTGTAGTCTTCGATGGTGTGCTGAGGGTCCATGAGCTCGGTCATTTCCAGGTCATCCAAACACAAGGCTCTGTGATTTTAGCTTTCCTTCAGTCGCCGGCTGGCACACAGAAGAACCACATCTACTCCTCAAGGGAAAGGCTTGGGCCCTGGCTTCCCTCCCAGGAGTTTGTGGGCTGAGTTAGACTCCAAGGAGGGGTGTGCCACCAGTAGGTGTGTCACCGCCAACTCAGGAAGAATGAGGAGCTTCCTGAGTGATTCTAGCTCCTTCCTCACCCATGAATCCTCGTCCCCTTCTTTTCCCCACCCGTCTTCAACCAGCACTAAGAACCACTCGTAAGGGCATATCTGTTTGCAGACACCACACCCGCAGAAAACAGTCTTTTCTGGGAAGCCGTTATTAAAACATGCCAAGAATGTCCCTAGGATTTTCCTCCCCTTTGCACAATCCAGAATCCAGATTTTGGTCACTGTCATTTCACAATAATTCAGTGCATGAAACAAAGAAAGAAAAGAGGACTGATTTCCCCAAGCCTTCTGCCTCCTGCTTTTCCTTAATGAATTACCATCTCAGCCAGATGGACTTTTTCATTATTAATTTTTAAATACTAGGATTAAAAAAAAATACTCTAACTTGGAGAGGCTTCTTTTACTATTAGCCTAGCTATTCATCATGGCTTTGGAAAACAGTGCCCCGACAAAGCGCTGGTATGAGACAAGGCATGGAGTTGGAGCCTTTTTATATTACGTACACGCTGTCAGAAAACAATGACCTCATCCGGAAAGGCTCAGGAAAGAGGCATTTTTTCCTTTAGTCAGTAAGGCCCTGATACTGGATTGGATTACCCACCACCTACCATCCAACTTTTCTCCCAGTTATTTTTGAACGCCAGGGCCTGCATATTGGAAAAGTTATAAAGACACAGGCGCAAATGGGCAATGATACAGGACAAACAACCTCGGCATCAGACACATGTATTAGCTAACCAAGTAGAGACCGGCACAGTATTTTAAGCGTGAGAATAAAATACTTGATTCTTATAACAAGACATAACTGCCAGTTCCCACTCCAAGACAGTACATACTTTAATGGTGGTCCATAATCATCCACTGAAAGGAAGGCTATTTGAAACATGCTGGTTAAATACAAAGTGTGGTTACCCGAAGGTTCCTGGCTTACTCTATGCCCTATCTAGGTGGCTTTCCCGACATGTTCAGAAATGGCTCTGGTGGACAGCAACCCCCGTGGCTGCCCTGCGCTCCCTTCCCCGAGTCAGTCCACTGCCTGGGACTTGCTGCCTCTGACAAAGTCCTTCTGACTTGGCTGTGGCACCAGGCGCCAGACGAAGGATCACAACTGGACCACTCATTGTCACTCATTGATAAAATGCTTGGCATTCGCAGAGCTGTCATATGTTGGCTGCTATCAAAAGGGCAGTCGCATTGACTGAAATCTTCCGATTATGCCTAAGGCCTAGCTTTCTCCTGACAGTAATTCCGTATTTTAGCTCTAATGATTTTTTTTTTTGGTCAGTCTTGAGATTTTTACCATGAGGATAGAACACAAGTCTTTTATATTTGCATTTTTTATTCTTGTTAGCCTTCATTTAAAATGTAATGGAGACCAAGAGTTCAAGTATGGGGGCCCTGCCACATGTGTGGGCATGTGTGTGTATACACATAGCCAGGTTAAGGCCAGGATAGAAAATTGGAGGAAAAAGGATTGCAGCATGATCAGACCCCATTGGGGAAGGTGCTTTCTCCCTATCTCTCCTTTTCCCTCCCTCTCTCTCTCTTTCTTCCTCTTGTGCACATTCGCACACATACATACATACACACACACTTTTTGGTCTAAAAAAAATTAAAATGTAATGGAGACTAGTTTTTTCCTATTTTTTAAAAAATAAATTATTATTCCTACCTGATTTTAAATGATAAAGGTAAGAATAAACTAAGGATAGTGCTCTAACTCTTAGGTTGTTGGGAAAGTCGTGACATATTTTTTCTGTGCAAAAATGCGTCATGACTTTCCCAATGACCCAATATTTTCTGGTGGTAACACAGGGTTTTAGTTTAAAAGCAACTCATACTGGCTTCTTATCTTTTACAAGGGGAGCCAGTGAGGGAAAAGAAGACAATACAATATTGAAACTTCAGCTTCTTGATAAATTAACTCCTTTTTCATGGCCATCCAAATTTGACTTCCGTTAGCTGAGTCAAAGATAATTTGGTTGGTGATTTATTAGAATCAAGAAACCAACTGCTTAAAAACTGTTTAAAATACACAACTGATTTTCTAATTAAATATCAATGATACCTCTACAATATTATTTCAAATCCAGAGATACTGCTAGATGTTCTTTACTTTATTTAACTCAGTCATCTGCAAGACCTGGAGCAGAAGTCTTTCCAAATGCACCATGCTCCTAGAATTCTTCACAGGAGATGGTCAGCTGGCAAAATTAATATATAAAAATGCTTGAAATTGCATATTCACACCTGTGTTTGAGAAATGCTTGATTAAACACTGCTAAGCAGATTTCTTATCCATAGTCTTAATATGCATAACTACGCAGGTGTGCCTTGTAACTACAAGATGAATATGATAAGACACATTGCCTAAATTTGACCAGAGAACCCCCAAGCCTAGAACAACTAGTAATTTTCCATAAAAAAACAGCTTGGAAAACACTGCTCTGGAGGAGGAAGAGGGTTAGAAAAGATTTCAGAAATAATTTACATCATAATTTCAAAGGTGAGAAGTCTTTTTTTTAGAGTTATTTATTTAATTTTATTTATTCATTCATTTATTTTAATTTGACCAGAGACAGACAGACAGACAGACAGAAAGACAGAGAAAAAGTGAGAAAGCAAGCCACCAGGTCTGGGACTCAAACTATGGTTGGCCATGTGGGGGTGTCCAGCACCTTAGCCATCATGCCACCTGCTCGTCCCCACATGAGAAGTCTTAAAGCCAGAAGAATTTAGGGACTTGTCATAGGCCATAGAGAATATATATGGAAGACAAATTTGCCTTTGCTATTTGGAGGGCTATGATAGGTCAGCATGCATAGCCTAACGTTTGACCTGTACTGACACTAACAACTAGTAACCCAGTTGCTCCACTGCTCTTATGTTAAAAGACCTGGACTAGGTCTAATTTGCAATTATAGAATAGGAGACAAGTCTACCGCAATTTAATTTATGACAGGGTTAAGAGTGAAAAATAGCAGATATCAGTCACAAAACATTCAGAGAGCTCTGGCCTGATCTTTTAAACTAAGCAGAAACTTGAAGCAAATTGAATTCCATAAGAAAAATGATTCCAGTGGAAAAGATGAAATGAAATTTCTTCAAAGGTCATATTCAATGAGGAAGAAGAAACTGCTAGACCTTATCTAGAAAGGTACAGGGAAAAAGTTACGTACTGATGTGTCATTTCCCTTGAACTTGTATCGTGTTTATATCCCGTTATAAGCCCAAATGATTGGGCATGACTCAAGTTCAACTCTTTGACTTTGTTGGGGAGATCAGTTTCAAGAACGAAAAGGAATTCTTACACTTCACCACACACATACACAGAAGGCTTAATCTAGAAGTGATCTTTTTAGCACACACCATCTCTGCGCTGAAAGACCTAGTTTCTGCTTGTGATTTCCAGGCAGATCCTCTGAAATTATTTTTGTAACTGGAAATGAAGTTAAATGGACTTTACTAGGACATTATCAACTCCAACTACCTCTGGTCACTACATCTCAGCTTCATAAGCTGCAAATAGAATGGCCTCATTATTATTCACAGCTCACACTTCCTGACGCCTCACTCTCCATAGGCATTGAACAAAGACTCCCTCATTGATTTCTTAAAACTCTGAGGCAAGAATCATGATTGCCTCCATTTGCGAGATGAGGAAACTGAGATCAAGAAATGGCCCAAGGTCGTGCCACTAACAGATGTAGCGGGCGTTTGAACACAAGCAGTCAGAATCAGAGACCATGAAATGGTTCCACCCCAACATTCTCAAAGCCTTCTCCACACTGCTGAGAGAATCCCTGTGATGCCAATTAATCAATATAAGTGCTGTGATCCGTGTGAGCTTTTTGTTTTTTAAATATAAAGAGGCAATCATTTGAAGCAGAATGCAGTTAGTGATTGTCATACAGTACTTTCTACATCTTGCGTAGAAGTTTATAGTGATGGACGGACTTTCTATGTCTCCTTCCCTTTCTAACAATTCTTTTCTGCTCTGTCTCTCTCCTACCCATCCCACTTGGCTAGAAAGAATTAAAAAAAGCATTCTGTATTCCTTGCAAAAACACAGCCATGTCTCTCTAGTGACTCATTTGACACAAATAAGCCGTAAAAAGTTGTGATGTTGAAGTCTGAAAGGAAACAAATTACTGAAGAACAAGGAGATTCTGCCTCTCTCACTGTGAGAGGTCCAAACATCAGGGTAAGTCATAATGCTTTACTATAGTACAGACTTTTATATCTTTCTACATTAATTACCATTTTCATTTGTCTCGTGACCAATAGCTGACAACTGCAATTGCAAAATGTTCCACACAGAGCTTCACTCCCAGAGAATGAAAGAGGATGTTGGTGGGCTGCTATACACAGAGGGCACATTTTATATAGAACTTTTTGTTGGTGAAGGATAAGAAAACAGAATGAACACCCAAAAGACACATACCTTCCCTGGAAATGTTACTATACTTCATTTCACCTCTCCTAGATTGTTATTTTTCTTTATTCGTGATAGAGGCTGTGCATACACACCTGTGAGTATGTGTGGGGGGCTGGGGGAGAAACACAGAGAGAGAGACAGAGAAAGATGAGCACCCTCTACAATGTCTGGTCATGTCGCCATTTCCTTCCTGTATCCTTCGGTCAGTTGGATCCTGGGCACTCAGGCACATGCCCAGTGTGTTTGGGGATGAGGAACCGGGGATTTGAACTGTATCGCCATGTAGGATTTGGCCTCTCCTGGGCAGTACCTCTCTGCTGTGGTGAAAAGCCAGCCCTCCCACATCTTTTACTCAATGTAATATATCATTACCAAGCTGAACCTCATCTTCTCTTTGGAAGTTGAATTCAAAGTTAGTGGGGAGAGAAAATAGGCCACATTTTAATGAGAATGAGAATGACACTCCAAAGCACTGGCTCCAATTCAACTCTCCAGTTTAATCTTGGGGTTTTAAGTTTAATCTAACATTCTATATATATTAC